TAATTGAATATTTTGATTATTTATTTATTTTTTCAAATTAAAACTGAACTTTATTGACTGTGTCCTTTTCCAGACTTTTTATTAATTTATTGTAATTAATTATTTGCATGCAATTAAAAACTAATTTTAAACGATGCCAAAGAAGGATAACTTCTCACGCGCCTACATAAGTACACGCACCCATTTTTGAAGTTATACTTCTTTAGGCGCGTTCTGAAAAATTGTTGAGAGTGAAATTTTAAGATGCGCGCGCATCATGTAACACAAAAAATTAACACCATGAAGTTGGTCGCTTTAGCGACCAACTTCATGTGCCGCGCTACCATTACCGCGTCGCCCGCCGCACCGTACGCATGCGCGGCCACTCGCGGTCCTAGCGCGGGAAACACGTGCAACAAACATCGGGAAAAGTTACGAGTTTTGAATTTAGAACAGAGACTGTTTTCATATCTATATATATAAAAATGAAACCCGTTTTCCGTTGTCACGACATAACATGAAAACGGCTTGACCGATTTGGCTGTTTTTTTGTAGTTTTCTAATACTCTGTACAAGGTTCTTACGGAAAAAAATATAAAGAAAATCCCAAGGGGATAAAATAAGGAATGAAAGCTTGTATGAAACTTTATCAATTTTAAACCGATCGGGCTGAGACTTTGCATGCAGGTATAAGAAGAATCATAGATGAATGTCATTGTGTATAATACAAGCCTGAGAACAAAAACTGTAGTCTACACTTCAGCTCTACACCGAAGCGAAGCGAGGGCGGGCCGCTAGTTTATAATATTTATCCACATGTTTCTAGTTTGTATATTCGGAATACGTGTTTGAGTTTCATACAAGTGCAAATCACATATGTTCTAATAAATTATATTCAGTAGCGATTTTAATTGAATATTTTGATTATTTATTTATTTTTTCAAATTAAAACTGAACTTTATTGACTGTGTCCTTTTCCAGACTTTTTATTAATTTATTGTAATTAATTCTTTGCATGCAATTAAAAACTAATTTTAAACGATGCCAAAGAAGGATAACTTCTATCGCGCCTACTTACGTACACGCACCCATTTTTTTTTTATTATATATTGCAATGAAGGATGTTGTAGCTCTCTTAATTACCCTTACAATGTTTTTTTATAAATTGTGATAGCATGAATATTGAAGGAGTTATGGTCCAAAAACTTATCATATTTTTTTCTACTTAGTAACTGAAAATTTCGGAGTGTGAATATTTCGAGCAATGTGAAAGTACGCAGTATAATAGAGACCCACAACTATTGTAATGTGTATATCTATACATAATATGGCTCATATATTTTGGAAACGTAGAAATGAATACATTCCAACGCCACCCGCACCACAAGAACTGCTGAAAATGATTTTTTTCAACTGCAAAAAAGGATGTGGAGCGTCTTGCGGATGCAGAAAAGTTGATCTGTTTTGTAATAGCAGTGTGACCAGATAAAATTTTACAAAAATACCGAGGCACCTCAAAAAAATACTGAAATATACCGACTTACATAGCACAGATATACCAATAAAAATACTGATTTTCTTAACACGTTTTATTTATTCATACGTACTCACAATAAATGTTAGAGTTATATTTTAACATCCTTTTCGAAGGATTAAAATTTACACAACCTCCTTCATTTCTTCACGCTCTATCTAATAGTGCAAACCGCATTAAAATCGGTCCAGCAGTTGTAAAGTTTTAGGCGAACATACATTCTGCAAGTCTGATTAATACTATGTATTGATTGATAATTGTATATGTAGTATTACAATACTACAACGCCGACAACGGCCGTCTTTCTTGTCATATCAGTAACTTACTCATAGATAACATGTATAAGTATAGGTAAACTGAATCCGGGGAAGTCCCCAATGTTCGCGTTCAGGGGAATTCCGCAAACATTGTCGCAAAGACGATGACGCACTACGGTGTTGCCATAACTTCTACCAAAATATACCCAAAAATACTGACTGCCAGCAATATACCTGAAAATATACTGATGTTCGGAAAAAAGGATGAAATATACTGAAAAAGTATTAAAATACTGAATCTGGTCACACTGTGTAATAGTACCTGTGAAACGTGCAGTGGAGATAACTGCCAAAATAGCCCTCCAATTCAGCCAGAAGATGTTGAATGTGACAGCGACTCCGACATTGAATCATGAAATAATATTAATATATAATAATAAATATTATTAATAATAATAGTACAATTTTATATATTTTGTAAATATTTTATTCAATAAATGACAATTTTTTACTCTAAATTAAATTATTTTTAAATATGTAATCATATATATTTACTGTTTTATTTTAGGGGTAGTTTTAAGGGTAGAAAAGCTTAAGAATATGACAATCATTTTCGAGAGTGTGGAATAATATTTGAATCCTTTTCATTTTAACAAAAAAAAAATTTTAACGATTTTTTATCAAGGGTTGAAAGGGGGTTAAAAATTTGATAATTATTATAGAGAATATAAAATATTGCTTACTCTATACTTACATCTTTTTATGTCATACCAAAGTATTTTTTTTGTGATTTTTTTGTTAAAGGAGTTTATATTCTTTTGATAAATACTCTTTATAATTTTGTTAACCCTATTTTTGTAATCTGTCATGTGTGTGTCATAGCAACCGTTGTTTTCTATTTTCATTAATAAAATATTCTGATCTGTCATGTGAATGCCGACTTTATTATTTCATAATTTATTGATAATTGTTCTATCATGGTAGCAGAGCGTGGTTAAAATTTATGGAATAAATCAGAGCTCGTGATAAGCAACATTTTTTTTGTAAAACATTCTGTGGTAACACAATATTTTTTCATCATGCAGTCACCAAGTTGCAAGATTGATATTGGTCACCTAGAAGGTACGAAAAATTGGACTACATGGAAATTCAAGGCCACATTATTATTACGAGGTATGCCTGGTGCATTAGATGCCATTAACGGTAATTTAGAAAAACCGGTTAAGCCCACTACTAATAACGCTGAAGCAATTTCTGAATATCAAAAAGCTCTTGATAAATACTACCACATATTACTAGCTGCGAATATGTCAGATGAAACCCTACAGAAAATAATACGCTTCAACTCATCTAAAGACGTTTGGGATGAACTACATCGTTTATTCGATGGTACGTCGGAAGATAAAAGTTATGCATTATGTATGGAGTTTTTCAGCTATCGTAAAGATCTCTCTCACGACATTATAACCCACATTTCCAAAATAAAAACACTATGGTCAGATTTGAAAGTCGAACTTGTCAAAACAGAAAAATGTGAATTACCGGTTATTTTATTAATTTGCAAAATTCTGGATACACTCCCTGATAATTATTTTGCTTTCAAATCAAGTTGGATGTTGATGTCAAAGACAGATAGAACTATAGAAAATCAGACAACGCAATTCAGTGCGTACGAACGCTCGATTTCATTGAAGAATGAAAATTCTACAGAAGTGCTCATTGTACATAGTAGTAATAAGAATAAATATAAGAAGAAATGTAGATATTGTGGAAAGGTTGGTCACAAAGTCAGACAATGCCAGAAATGGAAAGCAGACGGTAAACCATCTAAGCCTGAATCAAAACCAACATCAAGTATCTCTAACATCAATCTAATGCTGATGCAAGTCACTACAACGCCAGAAGTGTACTCGATGCCGTCTCACGATGACATTACAAGTTGGTTCGTCGACAATGGTGCAACAAGTCATGTAGCTGTCGCAAGGACTACTTCACTAGTTTCCAACGTTTTGCAGATGCTCGTACACTGACTGTTGCTAATGGAACTACTGTAAAGGCTGTTGGTAAAGGTACAGTAAACTGGAAAGTGTTAAATGACGGTGAAGAATCAAAGATAACTCTTTGTGATGTATGGTACGTACCGGATATTATGCGAAATTTATTTTCTGTGCTGGCTGCTCTAGACAGATTAGACAACAGTGTTTTTATATCTGAAAGGGAACACTGTTCACTGAAAGTCGATGGCAAAATACGATTGACTGGCAAAAGAGTCAAATATGGAGATTTATACAAACTCAATGTCGAAACTATCAGACAGTCAACCCCAGATTTGAACGTCGTGTCATCAGTTATCCTGCTTCAACTATACCATGAACGGTTAGCCCATCAGAACAAGAAACACGTCAAAGAAGTTATTGAAAGGGAACTTGGTATTAAAGTTCGTTTAGATTCTGAATTATGCACCGGATGTATTTATGGAAAAACACGCCGAAGAAAATTTGGAACTAAAGAACGAGCTAAAGCACCTGCGGAAATTATACACGCCGATGTGTGTGGTCCTTTTCCTCCGTCCTTCCTACCATGCTTAAGTATTGACGATTCTTAATAATTATTGTAAATTATATTTTATTTACAAGGATGAAAATTGTAAACAAAAATACAACTGTGTGGCTACTTCATTTACGGGAAAATTCCCCAAAAAGTAGGGAATTTTGTATTTCTTGCATTTTTGACTAGGCAAGATCAGATTTCGTAACTTTTTAGGGTTCCGTATCCCAAAAGGAAAAGAATAGAAGCCATATTATTCATAGAATATTTTATATAAATTATTGTCTTGTCTCCTTTCTAATAGGTTTCCTATAAATAGAAACCGTAGAGATGACTGGGTTTTAATTATTCGGGTTCGGTATACCTTCCAGTACTGTGTGCAGTGCACACGTTGTTTGGTTTTCGTTCAAACCGGAGCCTGTAAAGAATCGGAAACGGCGGAAAATGTATAAAAATATTAAAAATACAGTTGAAACCCGTTAACAAAACTACTATACAAATAAACTTTTGAAACTAAATTACGACAACCAAAATTATTACAAAATGAATTACAGAAAAATCGGGAGCTCACAACGAGTAAAACATGTGGTAAATATCCTGTTATTATAATATATATTTGATTACTTAATGTTAACAATGTTTTAGTTTGGGAGATTTAAAAAGTAGGGAAATTGATGATTTACCCGACAACCCTCAAATCACACACACGCGGTATGCGGGCGGCCATTTGCATGCTTCACTCGCGCTAAGACGAGGTTATCTACGTCCGTCTTTTTTTCAGGTCCGTGTTAGAAACATTGTTTTTAAATTAATTATAAAGCTAGTTAAGCTACTTAATTAGCTAAGTAAATGCAAAGAAAACATTCACGTATTGTTTGTACTTTTTTTATGGCATGCACGGTTTATGCGTTCAGCCAATGTCAAGTAAAAATTGTTTGTACTTATTGAAATATTTGCCGATAAAATTGATTTTTTATTTTATTCTGTCCTGTAAAGTTGGCAAAATCAATATCCGCCCTAACGCTTCTAAACTCTAAAAATATCCGCCCGAACATACAGGCATAAGGGTGCGGCCAGAGTGCACTCAGATTCAGATTCTGAAAACAAGCGCGAGAAATAAACAGCGGCCAGCATTATTGTTTCTGACGGAGACATAGGTTGCTTTCCAATTACAGCATTATAGCGCATAAAGCCCCGTATTCATGGGAAACATTTGTTGAGCAACAAAGTTGAATCAACGTGTTGCGGAGTTGCTGTCAACATGTTGCTGGCAACACTGCGTGTTGCAGAGTTGACAGCATCATGTTGACAAGCTCTCGCCCGACAAGCGTAAACATCAGTTTAGCGACAATTGTTGACGTGTGTGGACGAGTTTGCAACAGTTTATAAACATGGCAGTAGTGTGGAGCAATGATAAAATAATGCAATTAATAGAATTATTTCAATCAAAACCATTATTATGGGATTGTTCTATAAAACAATACAAAGATAGAAACAAAAAGAACGATGCATTCGAAGAAATTTCTCAAGTCCTAAATATACCCAAAAAAGACGTAGAAACTAAAATACATGTACTGCGTACTCAATTTACTAGATATACTGTACTTCCAGGGCCCAAAAGTAAAAACTTCACAGTTTTGTTGGTTGTAATTTCGCATTTTTGTTGTTACAAAGGTTTCTGTTGACCACATTATTAAAAAAAATGTCACACTTATGCACTGGTAGTTTTTTAGAAAAAAATATTGAAAATTTTTACTTTTCTTATCAAGTGATGATACTTCACACTAGGTTAGGTTAGTGTTGTGACCACAACGCGCGAGCCGAGCGAGCAAAGCGAGCGTGCCGCGGCAGCGGCCGGCGAAGCGCCAGAAAAAAAATCTGTTAAAAAGATCCTTTTCTACACAAGTAACACCTTTTGGGCCCTGGAAGTACAGTTTTACCGTGAAAAAAAAGATGTCGGCAAAAAAAAGTACAGGCAGCGGCGCAATAGAAAAATGTAAATGGATTTATTACGAGCCATTGGAATTTTTGTTATGTGGTGCAACTACTTCTGGTGAAACGGATACTATGAATAAAACAGTAAGTTGTTTTTGTATATAATTGTTTTATACTATTGTCTGTAAAATTATTACAAGTACGCTACATTATTTTGCCATGGAACTCTTCCCTCTGGAGTTATAAAGTAATCGGCAAACTGTTCTCTAATACAAAGAGCTGATTGTGATGCAGGCCATGCTGAACTGATTTTTATAATTGTAGTATTCACTTCCAGAATTATTTGGCGCCACAATCATAACGTGTTTCCCATCAATGGCCCCATTGCAATGTGGAAAATTCCATCGTATTTCGAATTCACGACTTATTTGTTTCCATTCTTGTTCCGAACTTGGAACCTAAAAAATAAATAAATATATAATAAGATAATAATTTACAGGTAGATGAAAACAATGCACTTGAAAGTGGTATGGAGTCAGAGCCATCTCAATCACCAAGGCCGAATGCTACAACATCTACATCTTCGAGGAAAAGAAATAAGACAGATGAATCAAATGAAATATTAGAGGTTTTGAAAAGTGCTAAAAAAAAGATGGATGAAAGGGAGAAGAAGGATCCATTTGATATATATGGTGAATATATTGCTGCTGAATTAAGAAGTGTTAAAGATGACCAAGCCGTGACACAGGCAAAGTACCATATTAATAATATACTGTATGAATTAAAAATGGGACGATATAATACATATGGATATCAAACGGCATCTTCTCATCCATCATCAACACCAAATAATGTTCAGGAAACTGAAATAAGGGAAATTGAGAGACACGAAACAAATAGACTAGATGCATTACGAGACGAAACAGAAGATTCGGCTATACTAAACTTAGTTAACTATCTCAGTGATGAATCAACGCAATAGCATACACTGTTTTTTTTTGTGTTTTTTAATTAATAAAATACTTGATTACACAAATAGTGTTCTTGTACCTTGACATATCCTGCTAGTGAGTTAATTAGTTCTTGACATACATCTGGTATAATTTTGCTAATCAATTGTTTTGATACTCTGAATGTGTATGAAAGAGAACTGTATGAATCTCCAGTTGCAAGATACCGTAATGTAATAGCCAGCCTCGTTTGAGGTGAAACTGGCTGACGAATATTTGTTTCCCTTTTAGCTATTGATGGACCAATCATTTCTAGAAGATGTTCGAAATCACTTTTCGACATTCTCGTAAAGTTACAAAATGATCCATCTGTCATTCTGAGGTCACTCATCAAATTTTCTCTTTGCAAAAGATAATTTCGAATCCACCATCTTTTTCTCTTTTTTTTATTAGAGATTCTATACATCTGATACAGAGAACACAACAACACTACCTCCTCGGGCAACATTTTAACGCAGACTGGCGCGTGGACAACCTGTATTGATTTAAACATAGTTGCTAGCAACATTCTCGCCGCTCACCAACAATGTTTAGCAACTGTTGCTAAACAAATGTTTACCATGAATACGGGGCTTTATGCTGCATAATGCTTAACGTTGAGTGTTCCAACTACAGCAACGCTTCGCACAATTGAGCACTCTCAAAAGTGATGCTTTCGTGTGATGCGTGCAATCGTACCAACGGAGAGACAGAAAATTAACAAGTGTTTTTTCTTTGAGTTGGCATTGATCGAAATGTTTTATTTATGTGTTATCGTTAGTAATATTATTTATAGCCAAATACTTCCGCCCGCTGACACAGCACACAGGCTACTATATAACAATGTACTCTATGCAGGCTACCTTAACTATCCCGGCTACGCGCTTGATGAATCCTTCAAAGCGATAAGCCCGTATGGGCCGCACCCATAGCCCGTATGGGTGCGGCCAGAGTGCACTCAGATTCAGATTCAGATTCCGAAAACAAGCGCGAGAAATAAACAGTGTAGTCTAAGCAGGTTGCCTGCTTTTTCTCGCGCTTTGTTTTCTGAGTCTGAATCTGAATCAGGAGTGCAATCTGGCCGTACCCTTCGACTACACTGTTTATTTCTCGAGCTTGTTTTCGAAATCTGAATCTGAATCTGAGTGCACTCTGGCCGCACCCAGGTCTGAATCTGAATCAGGAGTGCACTCTGACCGTACCCATACGGGCTATCGCTTTGAAGGATTCATCAAGCGCGTAGCCGGGATAGTTAAGGTAGCCTGCATAGAGTACATTGTTATATAGTAGCCTGTGTGCTGTGTCAGCGGGCGGAAGTATTTGTGTCTCCGTCAGAAACAATAATGCTGGCCGCGCTGTCTCAAGATGGTGGTGGACAGCATTGAGGTTAGCAGTTAGTGCGCCGAGGTGGGGCCTGCCTGTAGTGTGCGATAGTTCATGTATAATGTTCGAAAGTGATTTATGGAGATTTTTGTAAGGATGCGAGCCCGCCCAGTTAGTATGCGCAAGCCTTAGGAGTCCATAATAGTAATAGTGGCAGTTAGTGGATGTTTTAAAAACAAAAATTGATTAGATAACTGTATGCATTTATATTAACTAAAACCTACAAGCTAAAACTGGCACTGTACCTATAATGCAATTCAATTAAGAATAGGAAAGCCAATGACCTCCATCTGTCAAATGTCGCTTGAAAAGTACAGCTTGCAAAAAAATCTTGGAACCCTTTTTTAACACCCAGCTAATTCTAGAATAAAAACCAAACATTTGTAAGCAAACTTGTTTTTTTTTTCATTTATTGAGCTTTGGCTATGACTGGTCGATAACCTAAATCGTCAACCAAATGTCACTGTAAGTTGCGTTCACAAACTCGATTTAAAACTTTCGTTTAAGTACTTATAGGAGGCATGTTCGTATGTGACCTAGTAATAGCGCTAATGATTATTCATAACTGCTCCGGCGGTAATGCAGAGATGAGCGGAATTGAAGAGCTAGATTCTGATTAATGTTTTTTCTTACAGTCTTAATAAATAAATATTCTTAAAAATCGGTTGATTTTTTCTCTTTATCTTAGTAAATAAATTTAATTAAAATATCTGATTTTTTTTCTCACTTAATCTTAGTAAATAAGTTTTATTAAATAAAAACTTTTTGCTTTGCTCTCGCTACTATTTGGTTGGAATCGACAGCTATGACGTCACAATATGGAGCCCAGTCGGTCCTATTCTTAGTTGAATCGCATTATACATGGTTATTCGTATTTGCTTCGATGTGATTTTTACAAATAATCACAATTTACATACAGTTGACAAAAGACTGGAATTATTTGATATATTATTAATGAATAATGGGATGGGACCAAATTGAACACTCGTCACTGCACTGCTGTTGGTTTTTCACAAACACGAAACGCAGAGCACCATCCATTCTGCTGCATCCAGCGTGCGAGAAAGCGCAATACATGTAAAAGAAATGAAAATAAAAGAAATGGAGACACAATTAGTAATATCCATCTCCAAGAATTCACCAAGAATATTCCATTTCATTTCATCTCTTTTGCGTGTATAATGCGATTCAAATAAGAATAGGAAAGCCAAAGACCCCCATCCGTCAAATGTCGCTTGAAAAGTACGGTTTGCAAAAAAATCTCGGAACACTTTTTAGCACTCGGCTGATTATAAAATAAAAACCAAATATTTTTAAACAAACAATAACAAATGTTGATAATTAATATTAGTTGTTTTTTGAAGTTATACTTCTTTAGGCGCGTTATGAAATTTTGATGAGAGTGAAATTTTAAGATGCGCGCGCATCACTGTAACACAAAATTTTAACATAATGAAGTTGGTCGCTTTAGCGATTTATAGACAAAAAGTATTTATTAATCTGGAACAACGGAACCAAAGCGCGATTCAGGAGACTACAGCGCCATTTCTTGACCATTAGTGTAGTAGAACCAAAAACCACATCTTTATTTTTTGTAATAAAGTAACAGTTATAGGTATTCATATTTATGATATTTATCCACATGTTTCTAGTTTGTATATTCGGAATACGTGTTTGAGTTTCATACAAGTGCAAATCACATATGTTCTAATAAATTATATTCAGTAGCGATTTTAATTGAATATTTTGATTATTTATTTATTTTTTCAAATTAAAACTGAGCTTTATTGACTTCGTCCTTTTCCAGACTTTTTATTAATTTATTGTAATTAATTATTTGCATGCAATTAAAAACTAATTTAAAACGATGCCAAAGAAGGATAACTTCTCACGCGCCTACATAAGTACACGCATCCATTTTTTTTTTTCATTTATTGAGCTTTGGCTATGAATGGTTGATAACCTAAATCGTCAACCAAATGTCACTTTATGTTGCGTTCAAAAACTCGATTCAAAACTTTCGTTTACATATAGGATGCATGTTCGTATGTGACCTGCACGATTATTCATAACTTCTCCGGCGGTAATGCAGAGATGAGCGAAATTGAAGAGTTAGATTCTGAAAATGTTTTTTTTCACAGTCTTAATAAAGAAATACAAATCGGTTGTGTTCTTTCTCAACCTTAGTAAATAAATTTAATTAAAAAATCTGATGTTTTGTCTCAATTAATCTTAGTAAATAAGTCTTATTAAATAGTAACATTTTTTTGCTCACTCTACCTATTTGGTTTGAATTGACAGCTATGACGTCAAAATATGGCGCTCAGTCGGTCCTATTCTTAATTGAATCGCATTATACAGTGCTGTCTCACACGCTGGATTTAGCAAAATGGATAGTGCGTTACGTTTCAATTCGTTTGCATATCGTTCTATAATCCGAGTGTCCAGGCATCAGACAGGATTCAAACCTGCACCTTCTGCCATCCGGACGGCGGAATAGATTTATTATGTATCTAGTAATTAAATGCTTAAACTAAAAATAACAAACTGAAATCTAAAGTAGGTACTACAAATATTTGAAATAATATTGACACCCAAACAGATTACCTTCCATGAACAATTATAAAATAATTTATAACTGATAGTGAAAGTTTTTATGCGTATTATGTACTTTTAAGACCCGTTGTACCGAATGCACAATTTTTTTGGTTGAACGGGAAAATCTCAGTAACTAATGGTCCAATTTGAAAAAACCTTTTTGTGTTACATAGTGTATTTATTGAGGAAGGCTTGAAGCTATATAACATCACGCTGCGACCAGTAGGAGCAGATCACCGATGTAAAATGTTGCAAAGATGGGTAAAAATATTCCATTTGTGAGCTTCCGTTGTGTGCGCCGCGTAAATGATTAAAGTTACACAAAAATCACGTATTGCGGAATTGTTCTCTTTTAAAGTTCTATAAAAAAGTCCGCGACAGTATATGCCCATCTCTTCTCAAGTTTGGCTCACTATAACATTTTTCCTCAAATTAACACGGGTGAAACCGCAGGGGACCTTTAGTTGTGACATAACTGTAATAGATAGACATAGGGTATTGTGGTCTTTTTTGTAGATATTGATGTCCTATATAAAACTTTATAAATTACTTTGCTCTTCTGTCAGTGACTTCCGCAGCGTAAGCGAAATAAGGTTTTTTTTTCACACCCTGGGTTGCATTATCGAAGTTTTCATACAGAAACTTCACTTTTTTGAAAATACTCTGTAGGCTATGTTCATCAGGGATAATGTAAGATTCTAAAAGTGAAAGAATTTTTCAAAAAGGGTCCAGTAGTTTCGGAGCCTATTCATTACAAATAAACAATGAAATCTTTCCTCTTTATAATATTAGTAAAGATTGGTATGATTAAGCTGATTTTATTAAACATAAAAATGCAAATGCTGAATTACCATGTACAAAACCATCATACAATAATTAATGACGCACAATGTATCTTTAAACATCTGGGTAATAAGTTGTTTCAAACTTCTTCTTGCTTCTTGGATATGGTCTAAGAACTTTAGGAATATAAGGAGGAAGATGTTCATTCAATCGCCTTTGGAAGGGATTGATGTCAAGCTCAAATGGCCTTCTTCTAGCCTCATGGAATCTTGTATTATGTTGGATTTTGTAAATCTTTTCCCAGAGATAAGTCTCTGGTGGTAAAAAGTGTCTTGGTCTATTTGAGACTAAATGCTTATATGTGTCTTCAAGCCAACAGCGTTTGTTGTCATCTACTATGTCAGCAACAACTTGATCTTCTTTACCTAAATATGGTTTCAAATCATGTTCTCTCTCTTCAGGTGTATTTAAGTAAAATTGAATCAACATTTTCAAGACCTCTTCATTTAGACCTTTGACTTTACCATCTTCAATAGTTTCATACAGTTTCAATGGTTTAGTACCAAAACAAATGTTGTGTTTAGGATTTAAATCCATATTTTCATTATGCATTACCACTGTATTAAGTTGGTAAGCATAGAAAGACCACAGCTGGCCATTAGTTATAACAGTCTGTGTGATCAATGGGTATGTTAGGTCATTATAAGTTGTGAATCCCTGATAATTAGATTGTGCTAACAACCATCCAAAGCTGCTTTTCATTGCTTGGCAATGTAAGGCTTCTATATTATCATCAGGGCCATAATTGTTACGAGCTAGAATGTGACCTCTGCCATGATATGATAAGAAACCAAATTCATCATAATCACCTGGCCAAAAACCTGTGAATTAATAGAAAGATTATTTTTTTTGTTATTAAATAAATAAGTAATTATTTATCTAAAATGAAATAATTGTAAATAAAAAATTTCTTTCATACTGTAATAATACCTGGTATGTTTGTTCCATATCTAAATCTTGAAAAGTATCCAACATTTTGTGGACCAAATGAAAATTTTGGAACTTTAAAGTCTGGATTTTCAGCTTCACTATATGGAATCAGGGGCTTTAGAGGTAGACGACTTCGCAATGCTACAAATGGTGAACCTGCAAAGAATTCATTTGAGCATTCTTAGTCTATTATATCCTCTCCTGTGTTGGTGGTCATGCGCCGTTCGCACCCGATTATGTTGGACTCCTTTAAGGGGCCTCCCGCTGGGTGGGAACGATTGCATTGTTTCGCCGATATCTCTGTTATTTTGAATGAAAACCCTATACAAACTATATATATTTGGATTCTCCATAAAATTTACTTTAAAACAGTGTGTACACAATGCGTCATGTCTATAATCTATTTTAATTACGTTACGGTAAACTCGGGTAAGATAAAAAAAAAGCGTTCAGATGGGTAAAATGGAGTATATCTAAAATTTTAAAATTTCATGTCCAGGTTTTTTGGTTATTTGCACATTCTATTATAACTTACCAAATAAAATCATAAAATACCATAACTCCCACAATTTAATTTTACACTATAACTCTTACAATTCACGCGCTCAGTAGTGTAAACAAACACGCGTTATAAAAACAGGTGTCGGGTTTCGGGTAGGCGATAACGATTAGATGGGCACTCTAATAGCCATGACTTATGGGTTTACGGTTAGTTAAGATTGTAAACATCACTTTAGAAACAAGTGTGGCTTGAGAAGTCCTTTTTTATTTTATAGTTTTAAGAACTTGCAACAAGGCATTATAAAATCGCCTACAAATCAGTCATCTCAGTTTTAATGTCGATAAAACGAAAAGTACTTACAATTTTGATAAACAGTTTCTTTTATCAAAATGTACATTAAATTTGCTTTAGAATAAAGAAAAACTAATCACTAGTTCGCATACAAGAAAATAATATGAAAAAATATTTCATTCGAATATTTGAATTTAGAACGACCGTTACACCGCGCGGATTTTGTTTTTTTTTTATTTCTTCAAAAATAAGAACTCAAGAGATTCTCTGTATTCGAAATATTAATCATGAATAATTTATTCAATAATTATAAATTAAAACATTACAATTATTATCGAAATTATCACCACGAAAACATAAGCCACAAACCCTTTTTTTTATTGTTTTTTTTTTCGAGGTCGAGAACAAAAAAATTATTACAAAAAAAACACAAACCCGCCAACGAAACATCAAAATAGAGTAACTTACATCCGGTTTCTGAAACGCATGTCAAATATTAAATTAGTTGACAGACTGTCATAATTAACTATTTGTTGAGCAACTGTGGGTTTCTGAAAAGATACTTACCGAAAAATTAAGGAATCTACTGTTAAGGCACGATTTATTTATTAGTCTGGCCACCCTAGCTAAAACCAGTCACTTTCATTCGATCATTCATGTTTTGTTTCTGTCTAACGCATAGCTTTGTCTCTATCTTTTGACAACTTATAAGTGACTTTTATTTATAAGTCAGAAAAATAGAAGCGATTGTGTGTACCGAAAACATTGAAATTTATTTTCATTTGTAAAGTTTTTACATAATATGTCACGAAAAAACTATACGGAGCGAGAAAAGAGGGAGCTTTTAACAATAGTGAATAAGTAAGTACCTAATAGGTACAAATCAGTTGTTCAAATCAAGCTTTCTAATCTATACAAAGAAACCGATCTGTTTTTGGCATTTAAAATTTGTAAATATATTGATAATATATATTTCAATGTAGGTACAAAGCAATAATAGAAAATAAGTCTACCAATGCAGTGACGGTGGAAAAAAAACGTGACTTGGAAAAAAATTGAAGAATTTAGAAATAAAAATTAAAGAATTGGAATTTACTTCTAAAGCCAATAAAAAGTAAAATAATTATAGTGTAAATCTGATATAAACTACAATATAAAGATGTTTGTTTGGTTGTTTGAACGCGTTAACATCAGGAACTGCTGAACTGAATTGAAATATTCTTTTTACGTTGGGTTAGCCATAATTCTAGGAAGGCTTTAGTGTACAATAATTGTTCGTTTTAAGTTCCAGGTGTGGCAGTTTTCCCATTAGTTGATGGAAAACAGATTTTGAAATCCTGTAGCGATCCTTAAATTCTTCATCATTGTAATGAATTACAGGATTTATTCGTTTCCGGAACTGGCGAGTTGGTGCCAGATCTTCCTCGTCACTAGATAGGGATATATCGTCAACAGATAAATCTGACAACATTTTTTACTACCACTACAACAATCCTCTTACCAAAATATGAGTAAAATTTCTTTTGACAGTCTGTTAATTGATCAATTTTCACCAATTACTTATTAAAACACAACAAAACGTTAACATGCAGTTAACATACAAAAAAGCTTTCCGGAAACCAAAAACTACGGCAATCGGCCATTAATTCGAGATTTGACATTTGCAACAACAAATCATTGACAAACTGTCACTTGGCTCATTGAGAAAACCAAAGTGCATTTAAATAGAGATTAACAACTTGTTACGTAATTTTTTCGATGACATGCGTTTCAGAAACCGGGTGTTAATGTATTTAACTTGCCCAGGGATGCTGTTATTTTTTTAAAAACCACTGAAAAACACTTTAAATAGTCTGAATACACAGCATTTTTTTTTTCATACAAAAAACGGCGAACGACGAACTTCCACAGACAACAGTATAAATATTTCATATGGCAGTTGACTTAATCAATGGCTAGATAGCTAGCCTGTTCACTCCTCTACAAATTGATATAAGAATGTAGGGGATAGCAAAAGGAATGAATTTTATATGTTCCATAGTATAAGTGGGGTCGCGAGCAACCGAAAGTCGCTCAACACAATAACGATTTTTGGCAGGAACCGAAAGTCGGTCGCTCAACACAGTAGGGGATATTTAAAATTATGTAATGTTATAAAATTTGATAAACTAGCTGTAGGAGATCTTATCAAATAATGCTAATTAAATTGAAACATAATCTGGTTTGCTTTGAAATAAGCTTTGCAGCATATATTCCTTTGTGATATTTAAGTTCCTTAATTCATTATAAATATAAACACTAAATCTATTTACCTAGGTATTGAACTGGCCTGTCAACATTTTCATCCAGTCTATTTTTGTACCAAGAGTATTTCTTTCTCCATTTAAAAACACTGGTTGGTATATCAACACCACCCACAAACCAAAAGGCTTCATGACGTGGATCATAATCTACCTGTAACAAATAATATATAATAGACATTAAAACAGATATAGGTCTATCTAACGCATCAATAATATTTTGATACAATGTTTGTTTTTTTTACAGACTGACCTGTGCTGATAATAAATGTGGAACTTTTTCGCCCAAATGATTTGAGATAATTCTATTTACTTGCTTCACTATAGATCTAGCAATTGTATCTTCTTTTACAACATTTATTGGTTTCTCATTAGATAAAATGAAGTCTCGTCTGAAAGTATGATATTATAGAAGTTTAATAGTTTATAATCATGAGAATCATGAACCCCAATCAATAAATTTACATGACATCATAACATTACTTACTCTAAACCGTCAGTTTCCATGACTATAGCATCTTCAATGTATGTTTTGACTTCTTTACTGATTTCTCCTGCAGCTACAGCAGTATCGGCATACGCATTAGGCAAATTTTCGACAGGAATAAAATGACTCCTTGTGTAACATTTTATCATAGGCATAGCGTTATATGGTATTGTATCTTCATGCAACATAACGCATTGCCATCCATAATAGCGAGGCATATTTAGAGCTATTTGTTTTTCTTCCACAGTGTCGAGTTTTTTTATTTTCTCAAATAAAGATTCCCTTTTTCGAGATTTTCGGGCTTGTAAGGAATTATCCATAATTGGTGGATATTCTGGTGTCTCTGAGTATTCATTTTGTAAAGCTACTTGTGAATACTGTCTGGATAATCTTTTTAAATAAAACCGATGAATTTTCCAACGATACATTTTCTAAGAAATTAAAAATTTCATAATTCGGAAAAATATAGGTTATGAACACAGACTGCTATTTTTTTTAATCAGTTTTCCCATCTTGGGACAGGCAAAGGCAGAGCCATGCAGCCATACACGGATTACTCATAGATACTATGTATGAAGCTTTTTTTCTGCGTCTGATTACCCTTTTAAGTCTAAATCGTTCATTTTTATTACATCTAGAGTAAGGGTACCACCACAGTGCACACAGGTTCAGAATCAGATTCAGACTCAGAAAACAAGCGCGAGAAATAAACAGTGATGTCAATTCTGGCATGACTCTCTAAAGCTAAACTTAAATTGGACAACAGTGCATCCTTGTCATTCTCTATACAGAATGAAAAGGAGAGACTGATGTTTAATTTAGTTTTAAGTTTAGAGAATCACTCAAGAATTGACACCACTGTAGTTTAAGCAGGTTGCCTGCTGCCACTATGGCCATCCTGCTAAAACTACACTGTTATATCTGGAAACTTTCGGTAATTCCACTCAGATCAGTCCGCAAAATATTCTGACCGTAGAGAATGATTAATCTGGTAATCTGTCAGTTATGTGTGTGATCACGTGACCAAAAATCCGTCGCCTCTTCGATACAAATACCGAACGCATCTAACAATATATAAAAGTGCCGACATAAAGGAATCCAACACTCCAAGGCCAACAATAAAATTAAAAAAGAATCGAGTCTGATGCAACGTTTTGACATTTTAGCCTCGTTCCGTTCATGGCATGGCAGTTTAGTTCTCAAATTGAAGCACTTTATAACCAATATCTTTCATTTAAATCTGTTGAAATAAATTTTATCTTGTGTAAAAATGGACGAAGATATGGTATTCGATCCATCCCTCAAAAAAAAGAAGAAGAAAAAGACTGGATTCGATATGGAAGCAGCACTCGCAGAACAAGAGAACACGAGTGCGGAGGCACCCGCCGAGACAGGTGACGTAGACGTGCCAGAAGATGATAACCTTGACTTAGACACTTTTGGAAAGAAAAAGAAGAAGAAAAAGAAGCCATTCTTCAATTTAGAGGAGATTGAGAATGCTTTGCCTGAAACCCCTCCTACCGAGGAGCCCGAACCCCAGGAGGATGAAGTTATTGACGATTTAGATTTAGACATAGATTTCTCTAAAAGCAAAAAGAAAAAAAAGAAGAAAAACGTAGATGAACTACCAACAGAGGATGATGTCAAGGGTGAAGATCAAGAGAATGTTGAAGATGTGCATGGAGATTGGATTGGCAGTGATCGTGATTATACATATGATGAACTCCTAGAGCGCGTTTTCGACATAATGCGTGAAAAGAATCCTAGTATGGTTTCAGGTAAAAAGCAAAAGTTCATAATGAGACCACCACAGGTGGTAAGAATTGGTACCAAGAAGACGTCTTTTGCAAACTTCACAGAGATCTGTAAAACTTTGCATCGGCAACCCAAACATCTACTCGATTTTTTATTGGCTGAATTGGGTACTAGTGGTTCTGTAGATGGTAACAGCCAACTCATTATAAAAGGTAGATTCCAGCAGAAGCAAATAGAAAATGTTCTTCGTCGATACATCAAGGAATATGTGACATGTCACACATGCCGTTCCCCTGATACAATCTTGCAAAAAGACACCAGATTATTTTTCTTGCAGTGTGAGACATGTGGTTCACGTTGCTCTGTTGCCAGTATTAAATCTGGTTTTCAAGCGGTCACTGGAAAACGTGCAGCAATTCGTGCAAAGACTGCATAAAGTGTTAGTGCATAGTGATAATCTAATTTTACACTCAAGGAATTGGGGTACATGCAGTAACTATATTTTGTTTTATTTTATTATTAAATTCAATGTTTTTCATGGAAATTTGGTGCTGATGTTTGTAAATGTGTTCATTATTGTGCAATCATTTCTATTAAAGATAAAAGGTATTTCTTACCTTGTTGAGATAAATAATAGGAACTATGTTTCAAATCTGCATACTCAACATACAATGTGTTCAGTAAACTGGATCCCATTACCTTCATTGTAAGCATTATAGTAGTTAAATATGACATCTCATAATTTTTCTCAAGCATAAATTTCTAATGTAGATCTTTATAATTGTAAAATATTATATGCTCCAATGGATAGCTAGTTGGTTACATGAAATATGATAATATTTTAAACTGGATGTACCCCACTGACCTGGTCCCAATATTTATGTATAGTTCACTTCTGTATTATTCTCATCATTGATACACAATGTTTTACAAAAAGTTGTTTTATTTCAAACTATTCACTATTAAACTAGCCCTCACTTAAACTTAATGCTTGTCAGTGACCTGTTATTATATACCATGGCGAAGGAAGTGAAAGCATACATTTAAAATATTTGTTTTCATCAATGTAAACTTAGCAGTGCCACTTGTTTACTAAAAGAGCCTGGTGATTTGCATTTTTGCTCTTCTCAAAAGCTTCCAGTGTTGTGGGTTGTTTTTTATAGTATCTTTTGTGTACTGATACTTAATAAAATTGGTATTACTACTATCACAACTTTAAACAAAATCAGTTTATTTAATGTGTTATTTATAACTAACATAAATTAAAGTATTGATTTTTTTTGTTATTTTAAATTCACAAAAGTAGCAACTTAAAGTGATTACTTTTTCAGGGACCATAGGTAAATATTTATAAGCAGGTGGTTACTATGGACAATTATGGAAATTTGAAAACATCAATGTGTGCAAAATATATTTATTTTAATATTGAATCAACTTTGACAAATAAACATTTGAATATCTAACATAAAATATGCTGATATGTTTATCAAATTTAATTGCTGTGAATAATTTGTGGTTCATAATCATTTTTCACAGCATTACTAAGACTTTCTGCATACAAATTAAGTCTTTGGGTCATGGTAAAACCCCATTTATCTTTAACTTGACGGCATAAGTTTAAATCAACTTTCCCAATTAGTAAACCATCTTTCACTCTTGATAATCCTGGAGTTCTAACACCATCTGGAGCAGTTATATAACTTGAACCATAGAAATGACCAAATTCGTTATGAGCTAGCTTTCCATCTCCAGATGTGAATTCATTAGGAAACTTTTCTGTGCCAACTCTATTAATAGCACATGTGTAATAACTGTTAGCAATTGCTGCATTTCTAGCTTCAATTGGCCACAAATGTTCACTCAAACCAGACACTGTTGCAGATGGATTGAAGACTATCTCGGCACCGTTGATGCCAAACATAAGCCAGTTTAGTGGATGATGACGTCCATAGCATATATTAATAGCAATTTTACCAAATTTTGTCTCAAAGACAGGATGCCCTGTGTTACCTTCAAAATAATAGGTTGACTCATTGAAATCCCCTACCCGTGGTATATGGTTTTTTCTATGCTTACCAATAACCTTTCCAGACTCATTTATCACCACAGCTGTATTCCAAATAGTGTCACCATGGACTTCATCTCTTTCCAGGATAGGTGATATAATAACCATTCCAAATCTCGCAGCTAGTTCTTTAAGAAACATTGTGCTTGGCCCTTCAATAGCAGATTCTGCAAACTCACACCATGGATATTTTTCCCTTGTACAAAATGCAAATGGCATACTCCAAGCTTCTTGCAAACATAAAATATTGACATTTTCATTAGCAGCAGCTTCAATAATATTTATCATCTTGCTGAAAATACCTTGTCTTTGTTCAACAATAGGTTTATCAGTTGCTGTCGTGATAGAGTGTTGGATGACACCAATTTTCACAATGCGTGCACTCCTAAGTTCTTCATTCTTTGTGGGAAAATTATAAGCAGCAATTTCAAAATTATGTTTTTCTGCCAGTTCTAAATTTGCTTTAGCAATAGAAAGTTCATCGTACTTGTTTTTTCCATATTGTATCCTGTTGTATTCTTCTAACTCATTACCGGTTAATCTACTTGTAATTAGTTTATCTAAGCTTGGCAGTTCAGATGATGTTGCTGATGTAGCCATATCGGGTGTTCGGGGTCAAAACAAGAAGACAAGAATAATGATACATAAACGTACCTATTACATAATGAATAAAACTTACTGATAATGCTTATCTTGGCTTGGCCTATTGTATTGAATTAAATAATAATAATACTGTTACTGTTATGGCGGCACTTCACTTGGCCATTCGTACTTGTCTTTTTGGCATTTTTGACAGATAAGGTTTAGCGATTTTTTGGTTTAATAGGCTAGTTGACTCATGTCGAATTGTATTAAATAAATGTTTATTTCTTAAAGTATTTGGTCTAAGGAACCTAAATATATCAAGTTTACTTCATAAAAGCAGAAGACTGCTGTAGAAAATTAATTTAAAAAAAATATTTTTAGTCTATACTTTTTAAACACTAAAAACCCTGTTCGCCACATCCGCCATGATTGTGACGTCTCTTTTAGTAAACAACTAAATGTCATTCATACATAATTTTAAAACTTGTAAGGGGTTTTTGGCGGGATTTCATCGAGTGCGGTTGGCGTCTTATTTTAATTATTCTTAAATTCGTTCATAGTGGATATTGTGAAATAAAATTGGTGTGGTTTTGTGTAACAACTGTCTGCGTAACTGAAGAATTAGTGGAATCGTTAAAATATATGCTGTTCCGGTCAAGAGGACGTGAGAATTTTATTGTAGTATTGACTACCTCACAGAAGCTTATCGAAAAAGCCAACTCGATACATTTCGTGCCAAACACTCCAAGAAACATTAGAATGCGTCACACCGACATTCTAATGTATAAACAAAAAGATGATAAATTTAATTGAAGACCAGGCTGTATGGGCATTGTTCCCTTTGCCTTCCCTAGAACGGGAGAACTTCAACAAAACAAAATTAAAACTTGTAAAAAAAATGATAAAAAATGAAGAGACTTAAAATATTATTCAATGAGTACTTACATCAAAGTGATCTTCGCAAAAATAAATTTTACTATTTGTCGATAAAGTTGCAGTTCTAACCAGGTATTGCGTGTTTTAAAATTCTCGTACAATACAATAATGATAATTACTATATTTTTCGTGGTCAGTGTTACCAACCCTTACCAAAATTTTCCCCTAAGTATTTTTTAAATTCCCCTAAAATCCCCTAAATTAGAATTTATATGTACCTACTTATTACCTTAATTCGTTCGTTTCTCATAAATTAAAACGTAACATCGCACCTTTAGTCAAAAAAAGAAATAAGTCAAAATTTCAATTTTGTGGGAAATCGCAATCAAAGTTTGACTGTTTTGCATAAGCAACTTTAATGTGTCATAAAAAAAGAATGAAATTATTTAGGTGAATTCTAAAAGAAGATTCTATTAGTATAATTATTTAACTTTTATACCAACTATCAAAATTATCAATTTTTTGAAAAGAAAATCAATAAAATAAACATTTAATTAAAAGTTCGAAGTTATTTCACTTTATGCCGAAAAATAAAATCGCGAAATATGGACATACGCAAGGTAATATCAAAATTTGCTATTTTTTATTTAATATACTTGAAAAATGTATATTATATTTTGATTTTGTACAGTATTCTACTAATGAAATTAATAATAAATGACTATATTGCTTATTATTTCTATTTATTCATTGAAATTTGCAAAAAAATATGGTTGATGGTATTAAAACTGATGTTGTAATTCTTTATTTTATCCGTAATTATCATGCAATAAAAATAATATAGAATCCTTATAAAGCACAATTGAAAAGGATCATGGTTTAATAAAAATAATTTAATTGACAATTTAATAATAATAACCATAAACTAAACTTGTAGTCGTAAAACAAAATAAAAATAACTCTCAGCAAATAAACAACAACATTTAGCATAATGATAATTATAAAACGTAAAGAATTTATATAAAACTATATTGTCATCATTATAATCAGTTTTCATTTATATAATTGAGGTCTTTTTATTGATAACAACTTAAAACACTTACAAAATATAATTTTAGAACGCTGCATGATAAAAAACATGTAATATATTTATTTTTATTTTGGCCACAGCAATTGTGCGAGTAAAATATCACTTCCTTCTCTTCATCGTCTTCATCACTTAAGCTTTTAATATATAATAAATAAAATAATAATAATAATAAATAAATATTTCCGACACTCACACCAATTAGCCTAGCCCCAAAGTAAGCACTATAAGGCTTGTGTTATGGGATGCTAGGGTAACGGATAGAATACATATACTGTACATGTATAAGTATATTTATATAAATACATATTAAACATCCATGACTGGAGTACAAATGCACGTATTCATCACACAAACATCTGCCCCCACCGGGATTCGAACCCGGGACCTCTCGAGTCGGCGACAGCCATGAAACCCGGCGTACAAACCACTCGGCCACGGAGGTCGTCAAACACCACACACAAGAGCATCATACTTGCACTTATATGTGCTCTTTGTTTAGCCAAGACACAAAAATCCCAAAATTTTCGGAAAAATTGTGCATTCTACCGCCACGGTCTTTCAGATAACGGGATAGCACATTCTTCTGACTTTTTGCTAGATATACATACAGGTGTCAATACTGGCATAATTCTCTAAACTTAAAACTAAATTTATCATCAGTCTCTTCTTTTCATTCTGTGTAGAGAATGACAAGGATAAACTGTTGTCAAATTTAAGTTAAGGTTTACAAAATCACACCATTATCTGTCTTGTATGCGTTTACGTTTTATCTTATTCTGCTTCCATTGGCAGGGTTTTTAGGATACCCACGCCCTTTTTTTTTGAATTTGCTCTGTTAGAATTTGATGAACTGGTCGACGAAGATAATGACTGATTAATAAGGTAGTTCCTATTTTTGCTTGATTCACTACTTATAAATGTAGGATCTGAGTCGCTAAGATCAATATCACTTACACCATCAATATTTATAGGAGACGTATAATAATTAAGATTGTCCCTGATACAACGACTAAATACCTAAAAAATATATAAATGTAAGAATTACAATTGAAATTTCTTGGAAGTTTTATAGTGCATAACATTTTTAATTACGATCCTTCTATTTTCAAGATCAAAATGGCGAACGCATCTCTCACTTGCGATTTGCTGACAACATCGTCATCATGGCAGAAACCCTGCACGACCTTCAACAAATGCTGGATGACCTGGCTGACTCTTCTATACGCATCGGCCTACGGATGAACTTGGATAAAACCAAGGTCATGTTCAATGAACATGTTCTATCGGAACCGATTGCAATACACGGTGTCGCTCTCGAAGTTAAAAATATGTATACATCGGGCAGACATTGCAGTTAGGTAGAAACAACTTTGAGGATAAGGTGAATAGAAGAATTCAGCTAGGTTGCGCAGCATTTGGGAAGCTACGTCAAGTCCTGACATCGTCGATCCCACAGTGCCTAAAGACGAAAGTCTTTAATCAGTGCGTCCTACCTGTGATGACATAAGGAGCCGAGACGTGGACACTGACGGTACGGCTGGTCCACAAATTCAAAGTCGCTCAGCGCGCTATGGAAAGGGCTATGCTCAACGTTTCTCTGAAGGATCGCATCAGAAATGAGGTAATCCGAGTTCTGGAGTGGAGACCGCGTCTAGGCAAACGTAGTGTAGGATGTCCTCAGGCACGATGGAGTGACGATTTGCGCAAGGTGGCTGGCAGGAGCTGGATGCGAGTAGCTCAAGATCGATCTGATTGGCGTGCAATTGGAGAGGCCTATGTCCAGCAGTGGACAAGGATAGACTGTTGATGATGATAATGCTGCGGGGGAGTGTTTTCAATTGCAGGTGAACACGCTTCTTCGGTTTCATTTATAGTCATGGCTGTCATTGTGTCCAGGGTTATTATATTGTAAATAGTTTGCTCTATTTAAAGTATTCACTTCAAAACTTGCCAAAGTATCGGGAGAAGATGTGTTTGAACATGAAGAGAGTGGCCTCGAATATGTAGATGACGACGAGACTTGAAGACGACAGATGACGTATACGAAATTCTTTATTATAACTTTCTGCTTCTGTAGTGACGCATTGTGTCTGATCTTCATTATCTTATATGGTAATATCACTGTCATAGTAAGATACTAGACTTATGTTGGGTTGTTTAATTCACGCTGTGAATTCTGTGATCAAAAATATTATATAATAAATAAAACTAGAATCAATTTGCTGTTTTGTTCTTATTACTTACTTTGATATTTACGTACTGTATTTGACGACACGAGTTTAAAGATACATTTAGTCGCATTGTACTTACTGTTAAAACCAATTATGCTTATTAAAGTTAAACTTGATCAGGGATAAGTGGAAATAATTAATTTTAAAATTAAATATACCCACTTAATTAATAGGTAGATACGTAAGAGTATTAAAGAAAGTCACCTCGAGATTAGAATCTTAATTGTTATTTTTATTCGAATTATAACTGAAAGAACTATCTTTATCTTCCACAACTTTACTTTTAACAAATAAAACCAATATTCTTCGTGCATTCGAAGCCATCTTAAAAGCTGAAACAGAATAATGTATAGTAGCTACTTAAAATTCTTAATCCCTATTAATATACCCTTATAACAATTTTTATTTTATTTTCGTTTAATAATTACGCATATTTTTTTAACTTGTTTCATTTAAAAGGAAAATAACTCTCAAAGACACTTGCATTGTATTTAAGTAATAAATAATAAACTGAAAAAAAACTAAACGTACTAAGTTTCTAAAAATTCAATACTCTAATACTGAAACATTACTTATTTGTCTAAAGCTTTTTTAAATAATTTAATAAAAAAAGTGCATTAACTCGAAGTGCTACACAAATCGCACCTGAATATTTTATAGAGAACTGTAATAAATCCCAATAAACCTCTAAAAATATGAGTGCTTTTTCAATTAAGCAGATTTAAGTCTCAAGATATACACTTTTTTTAAATAATTAAGCAGAAGAAATACTTACGTGATAGTAAAACACCGCTATATTTAAAGTTATTACGTTTTTCCAAAAATCTTTAGAGACCTTACTGTCAACGAAGCCGGCGTAACACTGAATTGGATCACTTATTTAGTATCGACTTGTGCTAACCCGTTTGTAGAAAAGAGAACGATGGTCTTCTATCTCTTTCATTTTCATCGTATCGAAACGGCTGTTGAACTGAGCGCATTGACTCTAATTAGTTAGTTCACTTTATGCCGAAAACCCAAAAAATGGAAATTTTGAGTTATTTCTTTTTTTGAATGAAGGTGCGACATATTTTGTTACAGTAAATTATTTTATTATATAAATACAGTTTTCGAAGGGAAAAATCAAACGAGAATCCGCTGACAGGCTGTTAAATCTTATTTAGCTGTTTTGATAGGTGGAATAAAATAAAACATGACTGTTATGTTGTTGTTTTATTATTTTATCCATTGGTGATAGGCAAAGAACTTTAGTCCATACAGCCTTAGGAAACAACCCGCCACACACAGTCAGTTCAGTCGTTTCATATCGTGGTGCGTTCCATTATATGCACAAAACTGAAAGAAAATACACGCTTTGTCTTTCGATTTAATTGCAAGTTTTGTTAAAAGCCCCTAAAAGAACCCCCAAAAAATTCCAGCCCCTAGAAAAGTCCGTTTTAACACTTCTAGCCCCTAAATCTGGGGGCAAAACCCCTAAGTTGGGAACCCTGTTCGTGGTATTTATTAGAAATCATGTTTTTTTTTTTATTATAAACTCCGATAGGTTATTTTCTACGTGCTTACGAGTTTTTGTTTACTACCGTCGACGTCATAACATAGATAATCTGATATGTCCATGAAAAGTCTATTTTAAAATTAAAGATTTGTAGCTTTCTAGGTCTCAAAAAAATACAATACATTTTTTTTCGGTCTAATAGAACATTTATGAACCACTTAAAACCTTTTTCCAAAAAGGGTCAACTAGCCTATTACCTTTCCTGCGTTTCAAATACGAATAGTAAAGCTAATGACCTCCATCTGTCAAATGCCGCTTGAAAAGTACGGTTTGCAAAAAAATCTTGGAACCCTTTTTTAGCACTCGGCTAATTCTAGAATAAAAACCAAACATTTTAAACAAACAATAACAAATATTGATACGTAATATTGGCTGATATTATTATTTTCATTTATTGAGCTTTGATTAAACACGCTGCATGTGATATTTGGGCATGAAACAGACCTTTCGTTCGTTTCTTTGTCATCGCTATTTTATTGCAGTTTATGATGAATTCCTACAATTCAGATACAGGTATCAAAAAAACAGACGGAGCATGAGTGACTTATGGAATCAGATAAATAAATAAAAGGATGTACAGCACTGTGAAGGATTTTAAAGCAAGAAAATTTCCTGATGTAAAGAACTTTTTCAACACATTTTCTCAAAAAATGCATTTACAGACGTTGTATACATATATCGAAAGATTAAAATTGTGGTATGTACAACGGAGCGTGCGGTAAAATGTTTTGTCAAAAATTTTTACACAAAAACGCAACCACCGAATCGTCAAGTCAAAAAAAACAAAATGGCGCCTATATACTTTAGTTAAATGTTAATTAACTCCAGTCATGGATGTTTCATATGTATATCTATAAAAATATACTTATATATGTACAGTGTACGTATTCTATCCATTACCCTAGTATCCCATAACACAAGCCTTATAGTGCTTACTAATTATTAAATTTATTATTATTATAACTTTATTTAAAAATATTTTTATTTTTTATATACCATGCGAAGCAACTTTTTCCCCAACCTAATATAAACGATCATAAAATATAAACAAATTCAATTTTAGCTAGATTCGATTCAAAACTACAATATTTTTGGACACTTGCAAGTTTGAAGCATTCGTAATAATATTACACAGGAATTGGAATTTTCCAGTACTGTATTATCGATATCAATGAATTTAACATACCTATAAAAAAATGATATTTTGAATAGAGATGCACCGAAACTCGTTTTACATTCGGTATTACCGCAGTTTTTACCGAATTTTGTCTTCGGTCGAATTTTTGTTAGATCTCCCGGATGTTGGCCGAAATTCGGCGAGCTATAATCAATTTAAAAAAGAAATCGAAAAGAAATGTATTTTAAAATGAAATCTTGATCTACTTTTTTCTTTTTTTTTATGGCATGCAAATCTTGATCAAATTATCATTTGTTAGCAACGTGGGTCATCGTTAGCGTTTGCTTTTATTGCCCAAGACCAGAAAAACCAAGAAGTATCAAACCTTGCAAAAAAAAAACGACGGGGTGCACTCCGGGAGTGCAAGCAGAAGTGAAAACTTGAATATTAACGTTGTGCATTTTTGATATTTTGGAATGGTTAGGGAATAATTTTGCACGAATTGCTTTAATTATCAGTAACACTTTATATACACGAATTTTACGAATACACAGCAGTGTGGCCACTACACAGACGGTCGAGCCATCAGCTGTCACCATCCATGGATGCGCATGGCACGCTGTAACATAAACACACATGAACATTCGCGCAAGCGCCCTGCGCCGCCTAAACGAAACAGCAGGAGCAGGCATACATTTTCGCGGCGCCGTAGAAAGAGAGGGGGGATACTTCCTCTCCTACGCCGCGCCGGCTGTCTACTCTCCATCCGTCCTACGAATTTTCGATCAGGTCACGTGTCCTGACGCGAGTTTAACATTTTTTACCGATTACAAAAAAAGTGTACAACGCCGCTAAAGAAGTTTTTGTCTTACGAATTTTCGATCAGTTCACGTGTCCTGACGCTAGTTTAACATTTTTTACCCATTACAAAAAAAGTGTACAACGCCGCTAAAGAAGTTGTCACAAAAACAATTGTGATAAATCTGAAAAATAACATAACATTCTTTCTTCTTTGTAATTTATTTAAGATTGTGATACTTTGACTTTTATTATTTTTTTATTGTTACATAACAATATTTAAACACTTTGTTTAAGTAGACGAGCAAAACTACACGAAATTTAACCGAAGTTATGTACGTATTCAAACCGAACATTCAGCCGAATTCGACATTCGGCACATCCCACATTCGGTGCACTAGTTTTGAAGTTGATATTGGTGTCGATTCTAGCATGATTCTCTAAACCTAAACTTAAATTTGACAGTAGTATATCCTTGTCATTCTCTATACAGAATCAAAAGGAGAGACTGATGTTAAATTTAGTGTTAAGTTTAAAGAATCACGCCAGAATTGGCACCATTATCGGTTTCTCGATATAACGTTACGATCGTTACAACCCTACTTCCGTCCATTCCATGATCAACTTGTTCTCTTATTGGTCTGTGCCACAGATCACTATATGTAGGTCTGTGCCATGATCCCTAGCCTAAGGGTGCGGCCAGAGTGCACTCAGATTCAGAGTCAGATTCAGATTCTGAAAACAAGCGCGAGAAATAAACAGTGTAGTCGAAGGGTACGGCCAGATTGCACTCCTGATTTAGATTCAGATTCAGACTCAGAAAACAAAGCGCGAGAAAAAGCAGGCAACCTGCTTAGACTACACTGTTTATTTCTCGCGCTTGTTTTCAGAATCTGAATCTGACTCTGAATCTGAGTGCACTCTGGCCGCACCCTAATCCTAAACAGAAATTCTGTGGCAGAAAATTTGTCATCATTTGTCATTTACTTGTCTCTAGCCAAAGACTAGTTTGTGTAGTACACGGGGGATAATCTTCATACAACGGAATGCAATCATAGTCGGCCGCCATTACTGGAAATAAGTGACATTTCTTTTTTTTAATTTTGATGAAATTGCTTCTTTGACAAGCATGACACATGACATGTATGATACGCCGGCCGGCCTTATTTGTTCATTGCGATTTGCCTGTGGATTTGCGTTTAACGTGTTGATCGAGTCAAGTACTTGTGCTTATTACTCTCCACTTTAAATGCAATTAGGCCTTCATTGTTATTCGTATTTTACGTCTTTTACGATGTAATACGAGTGCTGTGTGTGCAAAAGATCGCGACAGGACGCTTTATTATATCATTTTTCTGGCAACTGGAAAAGACTTACTATGTGGTTAAAGTGTATAAACCGTGATGATTTGAAGGCATTACCTAAAGATCAGCTTTCGAATCTTTTCGTGTGTCAAAAGCACTTCGAGACTCGTTTTATTACGTCGGAATCACGGCTCAAAAAAATTGCTTATCCATCATTGTTCACTGAAGTCAAAATATTGAGTGGAATTATTGTCACCTCCACCTATTACAAAACAGTGTCTTATGCAATAAGTCAGCAAAAACGTTTATCAACATTATATATATAAATTGTATTTAATAAAATTTATTTTTCAGATGGCACTGTGAAAATCAGAGGGGTGAATTTAAATATTATTTATGACCCCTGTCATTTGATTAAGGGGTTGCGGAAGAACTTTATAACTAAAAATATATTAATGGATGGGAGAACTTCCAAATGGAGTGATATTGTTGATGTCTACAAAACAGACTGTAATCATGCTGAGGTCAGGCTATTACATAAATTGAATGACGAACATGTTATTCCAGAAAAGATAAAGAAAATGAAGGTGGGTTCTCCTTCATTACTACAAAGAAATAATCTTGCAAAGCTAGTACAGTCAGCATCAAAAGTACAATCATCTGATGCTGACCATATCATATGTCTTACATAATATCTGGGTGGTGGTCTTACTTATTTTGTCTTGTCAACATTTTATTGAAATTTGTATTTTGTTATAGGTAAAGAATTGTGTAAAAGTATTAAGCAGTACCATGTCTGCTGCATTATCGTACACTGCAAAATTTTGTAAGTATATTTTATAATACTGAATAAACATTTAGTTCTGTTGTACTGAAGTAAAAGGTGTGTCATGCTCATCTTAGATAGAAATAAAATAAATTTAATGTTATTTCACTAACAGACAAAGTAATGGTCATAATATTACATGGTACAACAGGACTCGTAAAACAATCTATAGATGCAACAGGACTCATAAAACCATCTGTAGATAGTATAGTACAAAATTGCTCTTTCTATATGTACCCCTAAAACTTTTAATCTAGGCATCGGATTCCATGCAGTTTTTAGCAATAAAGAAGAATGATCGAAGAGGAACGTTTACATATATATTATAGTATACATTGCATTCGTACGAAGCTGGGGGCGGCGTTTTAGTATAAGTTATAAATATTTGTAAAAAGACATTATTTTTATAGGATGTTTAAAATATTGTTTCAGCGCACTATGCCGATGGTAGACCCGTCAGTGAAACCCTGGACAACACCGCAAAGACCGTCTTATTCTTAGACCAATTATTTGATAGCATAAACGGAGCCTCCATGTTAGGGAAAAAATCTAAAGGGAAGTGTCAACGAACGGCGGTCACAAATAATTCACCGCATCATGTATTCTGGAATGAATCTATAAATAAATTACAAAAATGAAATATGTCGATAATACAGGAACAGAAAAGTCAGTGCCCTCATTGGCAAATTTTATAACTACATTAAAAAGTTATCAGAGGCTGTGGCAGCTTTTTAAAAAAGAAAATATGAAGATAATGCGTCCGAGATATTTTAATTCTGACACTATTGAAAATTTCTTTGGGCAAGTGCGAGCCTATAATTTTAGGAACAATGACCCAGACTGCCACAGCTGCAGCTGCACATATAAATCCTTACTAATAACTAGAATACTAAAATTTCATAATGAAACGTTTAATTGTGAGGATGACCCGGCTGATCAAGTACTTAATTTGCAAACACACATTGGCACTGACATTTTCCAATTAAGTAATTGTTCTTTGCCTATGACGCAAAAAATGGCGTTGGAAAAATATAATAAAAAATTAAAAAATAAATCTTTTAATAAATAATTCATGTGTTTTATTGTAGTTCCTTTAATTATGAATAAAAATTCCGATTAAGTGGGATACCTAGGTACCTAAAATTTTATGGATGAATAAAGTTGAGCCTTAGCCACTCTGACAAAATTTTAAAAAGTAAGTAAATGTCATACAAGACTAGAAGTACTTGTGTAGACGCTAACTTTTTTTTGTACTAGAGTCGGTCGTCTGATACGTAGTATCTCTAACTAGTCTGTGGTGTAGTATTCCAATAAATGTTCTAGCCCACTGTGAATTCTGTGTTGTGAAATTGTGAATCGTAGAGAAACTTGAAGGGTACACTTTAGCAAGTAATCTACCCCCTAACACCCTAGCCAGTGAGGTGTTTATTTTATTTTCGCTGTTTAGTGTTTGATTGCTTTGTTCCGCAATTTTCACTTTTGTTTTATCCATAGTTTATTTTTGCGTAAACGTTAAAAATTCAGCAGAATGAATGTATTACCCGCACAACCTATTGGTATTCAAAGCACTGCAGGTGCTGTCCCTGTTCGGAATGAAAAAGGTAAGTAACACAAAAGTCTATTAAAAAACAATAAATGCGTTTCAAGCAAGCAATTTATTTTTATGGGAACTGCCTGTTTAGCTTAGTTAAAACTTTAAACACTAAGCTTTCCTAATTCTGATTGACTTGATATAGGCACATTATTACTTATATTTCAAGTGAATAGAATTTTACTAAACTGCTTCTTTCTAGGTGAGATATCTATGAAAAAGGTGAAAGTACAGAGATACATATCGGGGAAAAAGCCAGATTATGCACAGGGTGTATCATCATCAGATGAGTCTGATAATGAAGATTTCATAGAGCAGCAAAGACCAGAACGTAGACAACAAGCATTGCCACAGATAATTGCACATAAAGAAGAGGAGCAATCTGATTCTGAAAAAGAGGTCAGTTGTGATTTGATTGTAGTTGTTGAAACTCTTACGTCCGGTTTCTGAAAAGCATGTCAAATATTGAATTAGTTAACAAACTGTCATAATTAACAATTTGTCAAACAACTGTGGGTTTCTGAAAAGATATTTACCGAAAAATTAACGAATCTACTGTTAAGACAGGATTTATTTATTAGTCCGGCCACCCTAGCTAAAACCAGTCACTTTCATTCGATCATTCATGTTTTGTTTCTGTCTAACGCATAGCTTTGTCTCTAATTCTCTATCTTTTGACAACTTTTATGTGACTTTTATTTAAAAGTCAGAAAAATAAAGTAGAAGCGATTGTGTCTACCGAAAACATTGAAATTTATTTTCATTTGTAAAGTTTTCATATAATATGTCTCGAAAAAACTATACGGAGCGAGAAAAGAGGGAGCTTTTAACAATAGTGGATAAGTAAGTACCTATTAGGTTGTTCAAATCAAGCTTTCTAATCTATACAAAGAAACCGATCTGCTTTTGGCATTTAAAATTTGTAAATATATTGATAATATATATTTCAATGTAGGTACAAAACAATAATTGAAAATAAGTCCACCAATGCAGTGTCGGTGGAAAAAAAAAACGAGACTTGGGAAAAAATAGCTCAGGAATACAACTCCTCTGCTGAGAATCCCCGAACAGCGAAGCAGCTTAACACAGCCTATCAAAATTTGAAAAGGCTGACAAGACAAAAAACAGCTGATGATAATGTATGTGCCTTTACTTTTTATTGATTATCATAAAGAAATTTACATGAGACCTGAATACATGACTTGTTTGTATCTAACATTTCAGATGAAGAATTACATGGAAAAAAATGTACAAGGGGATTTAAAACAATTTAAAAAGGACAAAGCTGATGATAAGGTATGTATAAAATAAATAATCTTTACATTTACAGAAGGAACCAGTTATTCTAGTTTTTATGTCAGTTTTTAAGTGATAATCACTATCTCTCGCACAAAAAACTATCTAATATTAGGCCTTCCAAATATCATTAATATAAAAAACTCAACTATATTGACTTTACATTTGTGGCAGTACTTATAAATACTTTATAATATAAAACTATGTATCCAATTTATCACGACTGGTAGGTGATATGTTATGGAAATATTATCAATTTTCAGAAAGCAATAATGGCTACAGGCGGAGGAACTTTTAAACCACAATTGAGTGAAGTTGGTGCACAAATGTTGGCATTGATGGGAGACCAGTTAAAACCATTATCCAATAATTGTGATAGTGCAACTGAATATTTTAAAAAGGATGAAGACTGTAACATCAATAATGATCATGAAAATAATAATGAAATTATTATTGACATAATACAAGAGCTTGGTGAGTAAATTTCTGTATACATTCTTTTGTAAATAAAAATATGAAATGTTTTTTTTTCAAATGTATTTGTTGGCAACATTATTAATAAACAATATATATTTTTTAATCAGATTATCACGAAACTGAAGCTTCTGCAGAGCCAACACTGGAGGAAATTGAAGTTTCTGCAGATTCGCTACTGCAAGGGGTCAGGTTGCCGCAAAAAGTGCAGAAAAGAAAAGCAAATCCTTTTACACAAAAAATTCAGCAAACAAAGGATAATAATATTTATAGGAAACAAAAGAAAAAACTTGAAAACACTAGTTCCATTAAAAGAAAATTCTATCAAAAAAAACTAGAATGTGCTCAACTAGAAAAAAAAACTCATTTTGTAAATTATAAAATCGCTCTAAAAAAAGAAAAACTAATTGATTTAGACATAAAAATTAAAGAATTGGAATTTACTTCTATGGCAAATAAAAAGTAAAATATAATTAGTGTAAATCTTATATAAACTACAATATAAAGCTGCAGAATTTGTTTTTATGTTTGTTTGAACGCGTTAACGCGGAACTGCTGCACTGAATTGAAATATTCTTTTTATGTTGGGTTAGCCATAATTCTAGGCTTTAGTGTACAATAATTGTTCGTTTTAAGTTAAATAATAAAGATTGATTCTGATGTAAAAGTATTGTTTATTATTTAATGTATGAAGACAACTAGTTACTTATTGGTTAAAGTGAGTTATAAGTAAGGCAGATCTAACTGAAAAATTTTCATTTGATCCTCCAGGTTGGGGTACCATCTCGGCCACTGTAGGTAAATTTTCATCAGGCAGATCTTCAATGACATCATTCTGGCTTAAGGCAATGTTATGCAGTACTGCACAGGCTACAACTATGCGCATAACAGTATCCAGCTTTACCCGTAACCCCATAGATAGACAGGGGAAGCGTCTTTTTAATACCCCAAAACACCTTTCTATAGGGTTTCTCGTCGCAATTTGAGCACGATTATAGGCATCTTCATTTGCTGTTGCTGGCTGTATAAAAGGGGTCAATAAATATTTACGGCAGGGATAACCACTGTCTCCCAGTAAGACATTGCTTCCATACACGCCTGTCTCAAAATCAACACGGACGTGTGAATCGTTAAAAATTGTAGTGTCATGGACAGATCCTGGCCATCGACATATTATATCTAAGATATACAACTCTGCATCACAAACTGCCTGAACATTTAAAGAAAAGTATCCTTTTCGGTTGCGAAACAGTTCTGCCGATGGCCCGCCACAAGACTGAATTTTTATATGAGTGCAGTCGACAGCTCCAATCACATTAAGGAACCCACTAATGGCGAAAAATCCATTCCGGACCCTAGCAAGTTCTGAAACGGTTGTTGGCATTTTAATAAATTGAGGTCTCAGTTTAGCAATTTCGGTTGATACCTTCTTAATTATGCGGCATGCTGTCGACTTATGCACTCTAACGTTATCTGCCACCAATATTTGGAATCCTCCAGAGGCATAAAAATTGATGGCCAACAAAACTTGTTCCTCGGCGCTGATGGCATGGTTGCGCTGGGTCATGGGTTCCAAGTGTGTCAATTTTCCCATCAGTTGATGGAAAACAGATTTTGAAATCCTGTAGCGATCCTTAAATTCTCCATCATTGTAATGAATTACAGGATTCATTCGTTTCCGGAACTGGCGAGTTGGTGCCAGATCTTCCTCGTCACTAGATAGGGATATATCGTCAGCAGATAAATCTGACAACATTTTTTACTGCGACTACAACAATCCTCTGACCGAAATATCAGAAAAATTTCTTTTGACAGTCTGTTAATTGATCAATTTTCACCAATTACTTATTAAAACACAACAAAACGTTAACATGCAGTTAACATACAAAAAAGCTTTCCGGAAACCAAAAACTACCGCAATCGGCCATTAATTCGAGATTTGACATTTGCAACAACAAATCATTGACAAACTGTCAATTGGCTCATTGAGAAACCCAAAGTGCATTTAAATAGAGATTAACAACTTGTTACATAATTTTTTCGATGACATGCGTTTCAGAAACCGGGAGTTAGTCTTAGAAGTCAAGTAGGTAAGTCAAAGGTAGATCATTGGATGGGTAGCCAAAAAATTTACTATTTCGAGCTCCTCCGTGCTTCGGAAGGCACATTAAGCCGTTGTTCCTGTAGTGGTAGACCATTGGAGATCGGCTCCCTATTCTATCCATGGGGAAGGCCTGTACCTCAACAATGGGGACATTAATAGGTTGATGATGATAAAAGTCTTAAAATGGTTTTTATTTAGATAAAATACAATCTGTTAGAAGAATAAATAATAAGTAATAAAATCTAGGTTGATGATCCTCGACTTCGTCGTCTACGTATAGCGGCTCGTTCCCCACAACGTCGCGCTGAGCACAAACCAGAAATCATTGATGCAGAACCAGAACCAGAGTCAGAGTCAAGTGCTAACGAAGCCAAAGATAGTTCAGAGAGTGAAGATGAACTCGACGATGATGAGATTGAGAGGCGTCGACAAGCTCTTAAAGCAAAACTTGCTGCAAGGTAAATATCTTTGTCAGTAAATAAAATCAATAATTTTATTTGCATAAATAATACATAAAATACATTTAATTAAGAAAATTAACTTTACACACAATACCATGTGTTTAAAGTACATACACAAGTCAAAGGGTCATTTCTTTGACAAGAACTGCACTGATCTAATTTCGGCCTATAGGTGTTCCCTAATAATATCTAAATGACTATTTACAGAGAAGCTGAAAAAGAAGTACTTGGAAGAGATGATGATGAGGAAATGTTGGATAATGAGAAAGAAGAGAGTGGGTCATCAGACACAGAATACACAGATAGTGAAGAAGACACAGGTGATGTTATAAAAATTTAATTAATATGGTGCCTTTAACCGCCTTAATACAAAACATTGACTAAAGTTAAACTAGGTTTAAAACTGATGCTGTCACTTTTGCATGCTAAAGCTAAGAGATAGCATTAGGTATAAACCATGACTAACTTACGTCCGCGTTTTAGAATAAGGCAGTCAGGGTTTAAATGATTGTTTAGACTGGTATACAATAATTTACATGTTAACAGTCAACTGATTTTGTTTTTACCTGGAGGAATAACTACTCATTTTAAAATGCCTGCTTATACTAGACTTTTCTCTTCTCAAACAAGTCCCAGCAGTTTCCTAAGTTTTCCATTCAATAAAGTCATCATCATCAGCCTATTAATGCCCCCCCTGCTGGGGCACAGGCTGTCGCTGTGGATGGAATAGAATAATTGTAACGTGTTAAAAACGTTACATGAATCTCCTTTGTTTGAAGAGCGAGATAGAAGACTTTCTTAGGTGGTCTCTCTCTGTTCGTTTTTATCTCAAGTCCATTTTCTTTAATCTCTGCACTTTTGAATAATTATGTTTCTGCCTTAATCAAGCATTAAGCTGTATGGGCTTGTTCTCTTTGCCCACCCAATGTCACTTCACTTCACGACGTATTTTTTCGGGAGCAGTATGTCTCGCCGCTAATCTTAATGAATTACAAAGTAATTCATATTATTTTTTAATGATGATTCATTTTGCATCATTTGCACAGAATGCCGAGGGCCATGACCCAAGCTTAATTTGTTTTAAAAATTAAAATAATTTTTTTGGTTTTATTTTTACTTAAATTTCAACAACATCATGGGAAAATAACAAACCCCGTGATGTAAACAGCAGTGAGATCGGCCATCCTTAAATATTTACAACACCAGACATAACCTACACAGATGCAGCGAGGTCGGTAACATTCTAAATTCATAGTTGTACCAGAACCCATAATAAGGTCAAATTTTCACTTAATACTTGGTAGAGTCATAGTATATAAAATAGTGTCTAAATTTAGCCTCGTAACGCCCGCGGTCCCTAATAAAATACTAAAACAAACATAGCCTGCAGGCCCAACAATTCATACTCCTAAACGCCCACGGTCCTTTTTTAACGATTAAATCGTTTTGGTGATACTGTGGATTTAAATTTGCCGCTCTGAGTATAACCAACATAAAAACACATGAATTGGGATGGCTGCTATCTATGGGCGCGAGTTGAGGTGGATTAAAAAAAAACAACTGTCAAAGTCATTTAACAAAGTTTGACGACTTGGTACACAAACGGAGACCACGTAACTAATCGTAAAATATTTCTGTAATCTATTAATTTAAAAGCGATAATTTATTACAATTTTATTAATAATTGTACGACTCATTGTTTGAAACCGTTCTTTTATTATTTACTCCAATAGATTAATGATATTTAATACCTAAAGTAATTGATACAAAAAAAAGGACCTAGAGCGTTAACTACTTTAAAGCCATATTATTTTTGGTTTTTCTTATTGTAAATTGCAATATCTACAGCAGTTACTGCCTGTTTTTTTACCCGGCTGCGCAATGCAAGAGCGCGAAGCGCGACGCGCAGACAGGGTTATGTGTTTAACAGTCTATATATGTATGTTTGTTCCTTTGTGGCACACTAGAGACCAAACGCCTGGACCGATTTTGATGATTCATACATCAATCGATTCGTCTCAATCATGGGAGTGCTACTAAAGATATCATAGTAATCAAAATTCAATATGGGCAAAAATAGTCGCCATATTGTGACGAAGTAAAAAAAATAAGTTGACAAAATATGTCGAGTGGGGTATCACCGTCTAGATAATCAAAAATCATGTTTAGGTTCCTAACACTATTTTTCATTTTATGTGATTGTTTAGGATCTACAACGCTTTAAAGTTGTATATTAACCACTTGCGCTTTTAATTTCAATCTTACGTTTGTATGGATCTTTGTTACTCTTTCACCTAAAAATACTGAATGGATTTTAATGAAACTTAACAGTAATATAGCTCATATATGATAATTACATATATATAATAATTTATGTAGTTATTGAGTGAATTGGCCAATATATAACAATAAGGTGTCACGTGAGACGGAAAAAATCTCCCATCTGCGAGCCATTTTGGCCTGCACTGCAAAAACAATAAAAGTTACATGAATATAATGTAGAGTGAAAATGTATCTCTTAAATAGTTCTAAAAAAAAGTCCGTGACATCATATATCTATTTTTAATGTGTAAGTCATTACCGCTAAAATAGTGAATCAAAACTATAATATTATTTGATATCTATTTCCAAAATGCACATTTTGTATTAACAAATCATTTTTTATCAAAACAAATACTTTTATCGCTTTTGATATTTAAAGACGATAAACTTTGCTTTTTACACTATGTCATTTCGACAAATATTTAAAAAGTTACAACGATGACAAAGTGATAGCGCGGTGTACTATGTAAAAGAAGAAAAAAAACGGGTATTCGCAGTAGCTGATCCTAAACGAAGTATAACAATAAAACTGTGATACAGTTCCTTCTTATTAAATGATGAAAAATATATTATCATAATAGGTATTTATGATTATTGAATTTTAATGAAAAACTCAGAATTTTACTGTTTTTCATTTTTTAACGATATTACTTAATGTTACAAAAAAGGTTTACTTAATATAATGAAAAATAACCCATTTTTCGCTAGTAAGTACATACTTATTGGAACCCCTGTATTTATTAATCAGCTCGCGATAATATTGGTTTTGTAATAATTCTGCAACATTCAAAGTAAATAATGTAGATTTTTATAGGTAAATCACCCCTTTCATCACCCTACGCCTAGAAGTATTGCGATGTTGTAGCTAAGAACCAAGTTCCCATCTACTTCTATATGGGAATTCATTATATTCGATTTAGCTATTAGGGCACGGAAGCGCAACAAACAAACTCACTTTCGCATCTATAATATTATATTATACTTACTAGTGATCCACCCGGGCATTGTACGGGCGAAATTTATTTATCGGGATAAAATATAGCCTATGTTACTAGGACAAAATGTATTTAAATAAAGAAAAATGTTATAATAAATAATGTAGCTACCTTATGATGAATTAATATTTGAAACCGGTTCAGTAGTTTGAAAGATTATTTGTTAGAAACATACAAATCTTGCCTCTTTATAATATTAGTATAGATAGTTAGGATAAGATAAGTATTTAATGATGAAAAAGATTTAAAAATAAAGTAAGTAATAGGTTGTTTTGATTATATTTGTAAAAGTTACTTAGCATTTGTGTTTAACAGTGACACGTTATTCGGTATTTTTTTAAACAAAAAAAAATTTGGAAAATAATTGCCATGATTGCACTACTGGGAGTACTCTTCATTCGAGCTTTACACTACCAATAAAAAAGGGTCGAACACAGAGTCTATGATGTGAACGCTTGAAAAGAAAACTACAAAGAGAACTATAAATTGATAATAAATGAGATTTCTATGGTGCTCTAACTTACGTTATGAAAATTTTATTATGCGCCTTTAGTTTAATCAAATATTATAAACTTTGCTTTGGTGATTGCATAATTATTTAATTTAGTGATCTAAGGCAGTTGCCTCCATTGTCTAAAACAACAGACAGGAATTACTGCTTTCTTCAACCTGCGACATAAACGTCATTGATTGGTATTGTATATAGAGTGATTAAAAACATTTGAAGTTAACTTCTGGCATCTACATATTCGGTTTCTGTGAATTATGTAGGTATATCAAATTATGAGACTAGGGACTGACACTGAATTTGTGTATATTGTCTTAGACGTCCGGCATTGACATGACAATGCAGCCACTGCCAATTTTAAATAGTCGACGAATAAAAGTAAATGAATTTTATATTTACTGCTAAACTATTAAAAAAAAACATAAACAAAAGATGACTTTTTGAGTAAGTGCTAGTTTACTATAAAATTTACATACATTAGCGATATTTATGTAACGACTTGATTTAACTTCACACATTTTTGCGAAAATTGAGGCCCATCTGTAGCCTTGACCCCGCTCTTTATATGTCTTAATAAATCAATCTTTTAGACCGACGCAAGGTACTTAATAATTCCCGCGATATTAATTCCCATACTGAAGTAACAAGACTACGGTATATACCGTCTTAAAATACTAACTAAAAAGTGTGAAATAAAAAAGGTAAATTTAAAAAATCAAAAAACCCGACTGCTTAATTATTATACTTCAAATAAAAACTGAAAAGAAAAAAACAAGTCCAGTAGTCTATAATTCTGTTAATAAGGAACAAAGCTACTTTAACAGTCGGGACCCACTGTTGAAAAATATTATGTATTCTTGAATATCTAATGGGTCCCGACTGTCAAAGTAGCTTTGTTCCTTATTAACAGAATTATAGACTACTGGACTTGTTTTTTTCTTTTCAGTTTTTATTTGAAGTATAATAATTAAGCAGTCGGGTTTTTTGATTTTTTAAATTTACCTTTTTTTAGTTTGAGAGATCAGGATATCTGCAAGTTGCTAAAAGACTCTAATATCGAGTTCCATCCATTTGATGCCGCTGGCGAGGAATTGCAAAGAAAGTCCACAATTCAGTTACACCTGTGTTACTAAGCAAAATATTTTTAAAATTTTCGCATTATTTTTATTTTAATTAGCTATTTGATATCCAAGTATAGAAGACTGATTATGGAAAGAGAGTAATTATTATTTTCATTTTGCTTAATGGTTTATCAAATTCAGAATTTATTTATAACCATAAGTGGACATTATTTTTATTATGGGTTGCTATTTAATTTCTTTTATATAATACAGGGAGAAAAAAACAGCCCTTGCTGAGTTTCTTGCCGGTTCATCTCAGTACAAGGTCTCCCGCCGTAGATTTGCGAACCGATGGCGTAGCTTTTCGACATTCACAAGTGCTTGTAACAGCCTAGACTGACTAAACGATATTAAATTTTGAAGAAATTTTTTTT